ACTGGTACTCACGGAAGCCACAGAAAGCAAATCTGTCCTAATAATGAAAATGTCATTTTCTCGTACGCTGTTGCTCGCCATGCCAGATCTACACTCTAGTTCCTACACTCCTGGCCACCTTGGCGAAGAGTCAAGAAGCCTGCTGCATTTCTAAGCTTCTTGCCGGACATCAGCCATTTCAAATCTTGTGACACGCGAGTGATGAAGCCCAAGCCCTTGACCCATGATCCCATGAACCGCACCCTCAAGCACAGCGTGACAACCTACGTGGTTGAAGCTCTGAAGCCTCCAAACCGCAAGCCGGCCACCACTGAACCCGAAGACCCCTAGGGAATATGATCCCTGTATAATGATATTTTCCCTTATTCCCTACTAAGCCCCCAGTAAGTATCATATCCCCGTATAATCTGCGACGTAGTATCGTTTTTTCCATTTTCCTTTCCATTATTTCCTATATACAGTCCCCTCTAAGTAGATAGAATGCTGCTTTAGGTATATTATAAGAAGTTCCCCATATACCCCATATTCTATCTACTTAAGGGGGACTATAACCCTAAAACCCTAAACCCGAAACCCTATACTAGCCCCAATATAAGCACGGATTGGGATCTTGCCACAAGGCCAGCCGGGCGCGTAGCGCCTGCAGGTGGCGGTGGTGCGCCGTGCTCCTGCTCCTGGCGCCTCCTCCCGTACCTATTGAGGGGTTATAAAGGGGTTATAAAGGGGTTTTTAGGGGGTTATATAGGGGTCATTTAGGGGTTATACAGGGGCTCTATAGGGGTTATATAGGAATAAGGACAGGATGATGGAAGCTACTGTTTAAGGTTATCTTCTGTATGGTTTAGGGGTTGAGGGTTTAGGGTGTTCCCCAGCAGTTCGGAGAGAGTCCTGGGTTGAAAAAAGGGTGTTCCCTAGGTCTTCTGCCAGTGTTGATACATGCTGATACTGAAATTCCAGCATACCCTGCAAAACTGTGAGCCTACAGTAGGACTCGAAGTGTGGAAGCTAGTGTCAAGTCTGGAGACTGTCCGACTAAGATTGGTAGGGCGTCTAAGCTATGCGGAATTCTACGAGGGGAGTTTGAGTACTGGCCTGCTTCCCAAGACAAGTATATGGTTTCCAAAGTTAGGATCTTGCGTTTTAAGGTTTTCATTCTAGTTGCGGTAGTATACACGTAGTATAGTTTATTCAAAAGGGCCCCTAGCCTGAATTTCCGTCATCTGGTATTGAATCGTTTCACGGTTGCCCCTGATGTCAAACATTACTTGCGCTTTCCTTTTTTTTGGTACTCCACGGAGAGTTCCGATATCAGTGACCCAAGGCCTGCGATTTCAAGAGGCAGGATGTACGCGCTTCAAAGGAATCCTGAGTGGAGTGCAGGGACAAAGGTACGAGCAACATTTTGTCTTGAATTGTGGCCGACTGATTAGGGTGTCGTGATGTCTGAGAAGCCACAACTTGCTGGAATCTTTTTCGTGCTGAACATTGCTGAACCAAAGCAAAAGCATGTTTCTGAGGCTCCCAAATTCCGTGCCCTTAAATCAACCCTCGGGAACTTCCGGAGCTGCGGGTGATAGCCACAAGCCTCGTGGTAGCGTGTCATATGTTGTCTCGCAAAAAGGTTGTGCTGGGCCTGGTCCTCTACATCGTCTTCTCCCTGATCAACAAGGACAAGGCAAACACAAACACATACACACACACACATACATACACACACACACACATTGGCAACACAGAGGCTTGTAAACACGGTCCAAATTTGTCTTCTCGACGGTCTTCTCAGTAACAGTTTCGCTCTCGCCTTGGATGGTGCCTTCAAGCGTCCTCAGGATGTGACATAATCCTGCATCCAATCCACTGGTCATAAGACGAAGGCCCACCCGCACCAGATCATCTTGACGTTCTGGGGCCAGCTCCTGAGACAGGGATTGAGAGTGATCAGAAGTTCAGCGCACAGCGCGCCCTAACTGCAGAGGGTGACTTGGAACTGAGCCCGCTCACTGCCTGTGCTTACTGGCAGTTCGGGTTCCACAGACGGCTGCAGCACTCGCTGTGGAATTCCTGTTCAGATTGCCTGAGGTAAGGAGCCTGCGAGACACTCCGCACCTGCAGTGAGCTTTTTCATCTGATGCAAGTATCAGCCCGAGGGGAGAACTGCAGGCGGCTGGAGATGAACAGGCAAACACCTTCTGAACTACCAAGGCCTCTTAAAATCATCCCCCAATTCCAGGGCAGTACTAGTTCACTCAAGCAAACTACTGTCGTGGTTGAGGTGCTTGAGGAGGTTCATCTTCTCATCTTAGAATCTGCCACTTCAGTAGTTGGGCCACGTTGGCTGCTAGAGCCGACGGGATGCTCAGCGTTTCATGACTGATGCTGTCACTGAAGGGCTGCAACTTATGCCCTGTACGACTGCATCGGTGCATGCGATTGCCTGTGCGTGCTATAGGAGGCAATGTTCATTACTTCCATACCTGCCCGATCATCCACTAGGGATGATCTCTTTCTTTTTTGCATAAGTCCAGGTAATCGCACTGCCGCTGCTCCCGGCGTGTTTGCCGCAACAGCAAATGTAAGCATGGAGCTTGCCGCGAGAAAGCAACAGTAGATTGTGCCGCGATCACATCAGCAACCACCACGGAGGGCGGGGCACCGGAATTTCATACAACCAGCACTATTACTGGTTGTTTGCACCAAAAGTGGGGTCCCCTACAGCCTAAAACAGTGGGTTGCTCTTCATAGTAGGCTCTTTGGTAGGCCTTTGTCTTTGCATTCCTCCTCAGCACGAGTGTCACTGATAGTCGTTCGGTCACTTTTGTGCTGACATCGCCACCACTCCTCATGGTTCCTGCATGGAGCTGTCTCATCACTTGCCCGACATATTCCGTGCCCACTCGACTGAATCAATTTGCGGTGTGATGAGATGTGGCTCGTATAGAACTCATAGAAGTTGTCAGCCCAATTCACCTCGCGATTCGTGCCAGGAAGTTTCATTCTTCGTCCAAAGTTTGATGTTCTCACAGCTGGTGTGGCCAGAACCATGAAGCCAAAACACCTCAACTCTTCGGTAGTCTCCTTGCGTCGATCAAGGCTTGCTTCTGGACGACATTCTTGCGGTCCCTGCCGTGCCATGTGCATGTTAGATCCTTGAAGCAGAAGCTCTGAACCCTAAATGTCCTAAACACTTTCTTCCAAGCCCGACCCCATGATCAGCTTCCTGGCGCCAGCACCGGACTGCGCTGCTCGCAGAGTGCGGAGAGCTTCTTCGGCGAATGAACAACGCCGCTCGGGCCGAGCTATGCACAAGCTTGTGTCAGGGGTACGACTCTATCGTTCCCCTTCTTCATCTTCTTCTCGATGTTGGGTAGAGGTGGTGATGGAGGAGGAGGAGGCTTAGATAAGGCGCAGACGCGTCTCCACGTCTCTTTGTTCCGTTTTCCGGTGCCAAGAAGGGACGCATGGGGGTTCCTGAAAATATTTCCCACATAGTCTTGAAGGAGGACCTAAGAAACCCCTTAGAACCTGTATCTACCCCTATAGCGACCCTAAGATATGGGAGCTCTGAGCTCAGCCTTGAAGACCTCTCATCGCTTGTTTTCCAGGGCTGTGGTTGCTCTTTGCGGCTAGAGTCGGTCAGAGTTGCCAGGTATTTCATGGTGTTTTGATTCACCTCCATGTGCTTCATAACTTGCATCCCCCTGTGTTGCAGGAAGACATCATGACATGTGAGAGCAATTCAGATGTATTACTCATTATTATTGTAATCAAAGTTATTATCAGGATTACTGTTATAATTAGTGCTATCACAACTAAGTCACTGCTAGTACTATTATTACTACTGTAATTAGTACTACCATTGTTATTTTTTACTACTAAGGAGATTCTGAGTTTGAAGGGCAACGTGCGGGTGCGGCACTCAGCTTCCTGCCCATCTCAGAGACCCTCGCTGCCTGGTACTGTACCGTCCTGACCATTGAAACCCTCTTACAGGGGTTTGGTTATCTAGACTCCTTGAAGGGGGTATTTAGGGGATTCTACAAGAAGAATGGAAATAAACATGGAAGCTATTATTGAGGGTTAAGGGTCTAAACTCCTTAAAGGGGGTTATGTAGGGAGTATATAGGGGGGGTACTATAGGATTATTCAGGGGGATACTCGGATTTAAGATTCTAGCTCACATGAGCTCTACTCTCAACTTCAATTAGTGTGAGTAGATCACTTTGATGCGCGCGCATTCTGCGATTCTCGCCAAGTTGGGGCTATAACAAGCACGCAGCTTGTCATAGACTGCCCGGCAGCAGTGATTGGAAAAGACCTTGGCGACCAGAATCCAACGGGTTGTTGCTACAATTCCTTTTTCAACGAGCTTCATAGGCTGTCCAAATCAAGCCCAAAATGGACCATGCACAATCCCCTCTTGCAGGAGGTCGGAATTTGAAGGGTCGTGCTAGATGCATGATCCACACCATGGACGCAGCTCAAGGATCCAGAATTCTGGGAAATTCCCAGTTTATGCTGTGTCCCTCAGGTGTTCTGCAGATGGCGACCTGCCCTACCTGGCCAGGCATCGTGACTGTCAAAATCAGGGTCCCAGATCCCTGGCTGAGGGTCTACATTTTTGGGAAACAGGGGTGCTGAGGCTGTCACACAAGTAGAGCTTGATGGGGTCCCCAGGAGATGGTCAGCATTTGGACAACTACACAGATGAATCACTCCAGGGTGAAGGGTCTACCGGTCTAGCTCTGGAGCCTGATGTTTGGAAGCTTCCCTGTGTGCATCTTGCAAGGATGGCCATTTAACATGGCGCAAGACTGGTCTTGGGACTGTGGGGTTATGTTATACGTTATGAAAGTTATGATGTGTCTTCAAGAGAGGGTTGGAAGCTAGGTCGAAGAGCATCGCGCAAACGAACCTTGTGTGTGTATCGAGCTGGCTGACAAGATGCTTCGCTTGTCAAGGAGGAGGCAGCAGAGACCCTGCCTGTGGAGTTTCGTGATGACATGCAAGGAATCACGGAACCGCCCTTAGCCCTGCTGAGTTTCACATGCTGAAGTGGTGTCGCACCCTTAAATTGTCATCTGTGCGGTCTTAGCAATTTCATGCCTAAACATTCAAAATGTAGCCTCCAGCCATAGCAAATCATGTGCGCACGGCTTCATGGGCTCAAAGATGGGTTGTGCCTCTGAGGATTGCGAGCTTGCTCCCCCTGCAATTGTGCTCAGGTCTACGGTGCCCCGCACTTGAACGTCACTGGCCTTAGCGAGCAAACCAGGCCAGGAAGAGCTCTTGCAGACCACGCAACGCTACGTTTCAGACAGAGAGCCTGCAGAAAATGATGAAGTGCTCAAGGCTACATACAGTTGTTCATGCTCGGCATGGGAAGTTGCTGTATGTTGCAAACCGGCTCAAGTGCCAACGCGGGGGCGCAGCCACCCACCTTCCGGGTACTCGGAGGCGGGCAGTTCTGCCAGGTCATTTCCTCATGCCAGGATACGGCTGTGCGCTGAAGCTGAAAGGACTCGGACAAGCGCGTTAGATTCAAGCGCGTTGCTCCAAATCTCCCCTCAGAACTTTGCCACGACCCAGGTGGGACTGCATGGCCTCAATGCCCACATGGCCATGGAGGAGTTTGCTGTGCGCGGCCGAAGAGCCGAGCCCTCAACATGGAGAGCAGACCGTGGAATCAACCAGACCATGCTGTAATGATTGTAAGGTTACATAGGGGCCACACAGGGATTAGAGAGGTTGACGTAGGATTATGTAGGATTATATAGGGCTACACAGGATTGTTGTAGAGAAACCACCTTGCCAGATTCTCAGGCTCGACCATGCCAAACTTGCACTGTGTAGGGCAACTACAGGAGGGAGTTGTCAAGAGAGGGCCTTGCAAAAGCCGTATATACACCTCACATAACGCCCCAAAACCCATATAACCCAGTATTACCCTAATCCCAAATATACTGTAGCCCTTACCTAGTCCCTCCCCCTAGAGAATTCCCCGTCCTGGGAATTGCCCTTGATACAGTGACAGAGACGGAATTTCTGATCATCATCATCATCATCATTGCGAATTTTCATTTGGAAGTCTCGGCACCAAGGCATCATAAGATGCACAGCATTTTGATCAAAGATCTAAATCTCAAGGCAGCTTACGGGCTTCTTCGCAGAGGAACTCAAAACTCATTGGGTCCCTGCCTACTTTAATGGTCAGAACCTGCCTTGGCAGAGGGGGCTGCTAACCCTAAAACAACTGACAACCCCAAACCCTAAACCCACTATGATTTTCTGATCCCTCCATGCTCAGGGCAGCATACGCCTTGGCCAGTCACCCCAGAGGCCCAGGGAATATGGGTGCTTTGCCGTCTCGCCGTCCAGAAAAAATCGTGGCAATAATACGCGTTATAATAATTGTAATTAATATGAGTCACTGCAATAAGAATAATCGTAAGAGTGATACGACTAATGATAACGGTAGTAACAAGAATAGTAATAATGATTGTAAGAAGAATAGTAGTAGTGGTAGTAGTAGTAGTAGTAGTAGTAGTGGTAGTAGTAATCAGGTGAATCTCTGGGGCTCCGACCATGTGACCTGCAGCTGGCAGGCTCTCAAAAGAGCAGCTTGCAGAGATCGAAAGAGCCAAGGTGAGGCTTTTGCCCGCAGAGAATTAGGATCATATGGGGGTTTCCCAAAATTAGGGGTACCCTTTTTGGGGGTCCCCATAATAAGGACTATAGTATTTTGGGGTCTATTAATATTGGGGTCCCCTCATTTTGGGAAACTACCATATTAGTATAATAATAATAGTGATAGTGATATTCAAGATTATTTTTCTTCTTGTTTTTGTTGCTAGTAGTAGAAATAATAGCGTGAAACAAATCTCTCTGTTTGGAGGAGGAGGGCAAATCCGCAACTCTTCCCATCTTACTGAAATCGAGACAAACCCCCCTGCCGCCGTAACGGGGCCAGTGTTGGAATGCGCAGTTTGAGCAAACTCCCCTCGTCAATCACTTCAGTTTGGGTGCCACAGCATTCCTCCTTCCTTTGCCGGGCGTGACTCAGTTGTGATGTTGATGTGGCAGTGCTTTGCTGCACTGCTCGCTCGCCTTGCAGTGGAAGCGGGAGCTGGACGAGATCTTTGAGCGCAGCATCCATGTTTCCAGCATGCATTCAGGCAATTTACTGAATCCTTGCGCACGCGTGTCCACCTGAAGTTTTCATCGCTTTGCGAACCCAGGTGACGTCCTTGAAAGATGAGGACTTCGCAAACGTAATCGGGGCAGACTGGAAGCAGTGCCACGCTTGCAGTGGAGTCAATGGAGTATGATGCTACAGTTGCTTCTCCACATTGTGGCAAGGTTGGATGTCTGTCCACTGGTTTTGAATGCAACGCTCATGACCCCTCAAAGGCAGCGTCCCACAAAGATTGACTTCAGCAGCTCCGCGCTTGCAAGATGACGGCTGTGCTCCGCAGCAGTACTTTGGGTTGAGTACGTGTGCGTGCTAGGGACTAGGCACTCCGCCCGAGTTTCGGTCGAAACCCCGCGGTCCTTGCGGAAGTAGCGTAACCAGGTAAGTGGATTTGAATACTTGCTTCCGACCCCCAGGCGACCGCTACCAGCTGGACACGCTGGAGGGCCCATCAGGTGGGCTTCTCCACCCGAAGCTGAACAAGCACCGGGTGAATTTGGTGGATGCACCTTGCTCGAAAATATTGGGAGCTCCTTTTCTGTTTGGCTGCTTCGTTCTTGTTGGAAATGGGAAGGGATCAAAGCTGCACCATGCTGCACCAGAAAGTTGTCCGCCATTAATGGACACCCATGCCCCCTTTCATGTTTGCAGCAAGTCCACAGGTGTCCAACAATCACTTGATGGACATCTCCGTCCTGAGCAAAGCCAACGGATACGATGCCCTGCACACGATCATGGCCATTTGGCATTGTGGCGTTATGGTCTGTAATCATCATGGCTTGTCTGGGGTAGAGGGCGGGATGTATCGTGTAAATGCAGAAGGTACGAAGGAAGCAAGCAGGTGCAGAACTCTATGGCAAAATAGGAGGTCTTCGATTGGAGGGCCCAGCACTGTCAACGCGAGCAGCTTTGATTGTGTGCATTTGGGTTGACATCTTGTCAGCCATTGATTGTTCAAAGGCCAGAAAGAATCTCCTTTCCCGCATCTCCTTGAACCTGCCAAAGCTTGTGGAGCTGAGCCACAGCTGCAGTAATTGCGGCCTCAGGGGATGTCTTGGTCAGACTCTGTTAGACCGTTCAACAAATTACAACATGGGAGAGTCCTGGGAGGAATCTGGCCTACAACTTGCTGAAGACTATGCAGCTCGGCGGGTCTAGCCATGCAGCGATGGGGCTGCGTAAGGTGCAAGGTTATCTAAGGATTGTACTTGGAGTTGGTTGCGTTGTCCCATTTTGCAAGGGCCTCAAACTCCTCATGCCCAGATTTTGATCCTCCCATTTGAGCCGATGAGCTGTGACACTCTTTCTCTCTCTCTCTCTCTCTCTCTCCCTCTCTCGCGCTCTCTCACTCACTCTTTCTCTCACTCATGGGAGAAGGATAGTGCTGGTCTGCATGCGAGGGAACAAGATGATGAAGGAGCTGCTTAGTTATCTTCAGCGCAGCCAAGCTTCCTTGTGCCTGCATGCTTCATTGGTTTAGGAAACTCAGGGCAATACCGACAGTATGGGGACTCCACCCTAAACCCTAAACCCTAAACCCTTCACTCAACAAGAAACCTCCTGCAAAGGCCGAGTTTAGGCCTTCTGCCGTCGCTGGAAGTGCTGATCCTGTGTCTTGGGATTGTTGAGAGGGACGGGTGTGGGCAAGATTACCCTGCCATGCTATAGTCGAAACTCCCTGAAGGGGGCTATATAGAGGATTATATCGGTATTTATAGGGGAGTACTATAGGGGCTAGTAAGGGGGTTAGGAGTTAAGAAGAGCTCATAAGCTTATTAAGGATCCTCCCGGCAAGGATTAACGGTCTTGTCTGGAGACCCGTGACATGCTGGCATTCACCCTGAGCCGAAAAGCTGTGTTGCCATCATCAGGATCCCTGCTTGAGGGTCCCTGCGTGTTTTGAGGACTGTACTGTGTAAGGGAGTCGAGTAGAGCGGAACGCACATGTTGGCACATGCGCTCAGCGCCCACCAGGATCCCACGTGTCCGCCAAGCACAGCCGTTTACAGTGCGGTGCCAGGTCACACAACCAGCTCAGCGGCAGCCTCGAAAATCTGAAGTCCGCCATGCGCATCAAGCGCCTCGATCTAGCCTACAACGAGTTCGAGCGCCGCCACGCTTGGCACACTTTCTCCTGAGTTTTCTTGTTGAGGCCCGGGGGGACGTGTCAGCGTGCTAATCGTGATATCACGCGCTCTCAGGATTGGACCCCCTCGCAGCTGTCGCAAGCACTGAATGCCATGAGCCACCTGCGTAGCCTTCAGAACCTCAGGCTCTACCACAACAAGTTTGTGGCATCTGGGCTTGAAGCAACAACTGGGACAGTATTGGGACTTTTCGTGCTGTTCAAAGGTTTTTGGAACATGTTTGCCTGCGTGGGGTTTCTTTCCTAGGCAAATTCAATACTCTAGTATTTTGAAGGTCCCGAAGGTAACCCCGAAATTGACTTGAATGGTGTTCATTTTGAGGCTTGCTTCAAGGAGTACCAGATCTACGTCGTGACTGAGCTCTCCTTGGGAGTTGTTTTCTTTGGAAGGAATTTTCTTCGAAGCGCATGCAGGTTGATGCTTCAAAGCCGGACCCGGATGCGTTCTCCCCGAATGATAGAACCCTCCATATTGAGCATCGTGCGCCCCAGAGATATGCATGATTTTAAGACTGCGCAAAGGCGGGCGAGTTAGTTAGTTCTTTTTTTGCAATTACTTTTGATGGCGAAGGTGAGCAGGCTCAAATCTTTGCAGAAGCTCGACGATTGCATCATCAGTATGCAGCCTGGTGCGCACCGAGGCATGCCATATTGGAAGCTGAGAGACTAATCCTAATCATGCAGTTGGTGAAGAAGGCCTTCGGAAAACGATGGACTGTTCCGTCCTTTTTGAGTTGCTCTCTCGTCTGTGTTGGAATCAAATATTCAAGTATGATTCTATGAAGCTTGCGTTTTTCTACATTATGAGCGCAGAAACAATCAATACTGCTGGATGCTGTTCTCAACACGGGGAGCAGCCAACCTGCAGTATCCTCACGATGCCCGGGGTTCTGGATGAACACAGTCCCGCAGGTACACTCAGAACATGAACTCTAGGGTCCCTTTCTCCCGAAGGTACACTGGGCGATATAGGGCGCAAATGATGAAGGCTCCTGATTTCAAGCACCCCGTTCGTCCGCTGCCACGGATGTGTAGCAGATGTGCACATGGCCTTGATGCAGTCATCTGATCGGCATGCAGAGTCCTGCATGTCTTGAGAACACTGGTGCTACTCAGGGACATGCGGGATGAAATCGAGAGTACGAACCTCTTGGCCCTGGATGTTTACGATGTTGCTTTCAAGAAGCGGCAGGAGTGGTTAGACAAAGCACAGCATGCCAGCTTCCAGCAGAGGCAGGCCCAGAAAAAGGGCATAACAGCTCCTTTTTCAACACGGCTATGTGCATGTGTATCAAAGAAAACGCACGAGCTATTTCCATCTAGTTCCCATTGAGACTACGGACTCACAAGTTGTGCAGTAGAATTCAAGAAGCTTCTTATGTTGCTTCGTGCAAAGACTGCCAAGCCAACAGGCACAGAGGTACCCTTCCCTGCTTTCGCCGAGTGAGCTATAGTCTAAACTCCTTAAAGGGGGTTATATGGGGACTACTTTAGGGGGTATTAAAGGCGGATACTAGGAGTTTAGACCATAGTCCAAGTAGCATGCACACGACTTCGTCTGCTTCGCCTGCGATCTGCCAACTTGCTACGCATGCAAGGAGGAACTGGCGCGCCGAAGGAACAACGCGGGCGTGGGGCCCGGCACCTACTTGACCTACTTGTGAGTGACCCCACTATAACCCTATATAGATATATATATATACACACACTATTATATTATGGCAGTTTCCATCTAATTTTCCATTATTCCTCTATAACCCCTATATGATATTCAGGAAGGGGCCGCCTCCTTGCCAGAGCATCTTCCTAAACCATGCTGTTGCCACATATGCCTTAAGCAAGCCTTCATTTGGGAAATTGTTGTTTTTTTCTCAGGGTCAAAGCCCTGGGGGCTGGAGTTGGCAAGCTGAAGCTGATCATGGAGTCTCTTGAGGAGATCCTCGAGGCCGGGGATGTCTATGAAAGTCTCCCGGTGGTGATTGCAAAACATTAGTCCTTCCTTCCTTCTTCGTCATTCATCTTCCCAGTAGCCGTCCTTGCCTACTAATGGGGAGAGCGCAGTGTGAGCCCCTCGCCCTGAGCTCTGTAGGAATCCAGCGCGCTGGCTGCTCGCATCGCTGTGGTCCGCGAGAACGCTGCCCTGAGGGCGCAGAGCAGCGACAACGAGGTTTGTTCTGGCTGCAGATTGAGTCGAAAGTGTGTCAACTACAGAGTTGGGTTCTGGGGTAATTCATGTTTCCAGAAGATTGCCATTTGTTTGTTCATTCTGCCCCATGCAGGGCTTCAACGTCGAACAAGCCTTTTGGGACGGCATGGACAATGGTGGCTCTGACAAGGAGACTTTTTAACAAGAGCGGCTGAAGGGAACTTGCTAAGCTGGTTGGAAAGGTCAGGGCCACAATATGGGCGGAGTCCTGCACGAACCAATCATGTGTCACGGTTCAGGAGATGGAGATCACTGTGTCATACATCCTGGAGCTCATCACAGCAGCAGGGGGCTCAGAGAGGCTCCTTCCTCTTCACAGGCACTTCGGGGATGCCTTAATTATGTTATAGTATATTATAGTATATGATAGTATATTTGATATATGATAGTGTATATTATGTTGTAGTGTATAATGGTATATTGTGAAGGTCATGGAGCGGCATGACACTGCCCGGAACAACTTGGTGGACACTCTAGGCCTCTTGGCTTTCAGTTCCCAGCATCCCCAGAACCCAAGATCAGGACCAAAAGACTGCTGAGGGTTTTCCCATATTATAGTATATTGTGGTATATTATAGTATGCTATAGTATGTTAAGTATATTATAGTATGCTTGAAATGAGGGGGCAGTGGCTTTCAAGGTTTCCTCTCCTGTGTCGTCTCCCATGGACTTGGCCAACGCTGCCTGGATCTGCTTCGACGGATGATGTTGAGCAGCGATCATTGAGCCCTGGCCAAACCCATGCTTCTTGTAAGCACCCTGCAAACGGGAAGTTGGCTAACGCTCTGGAGCAACCGGCAAAAGTGGTGGCAGCAGCAGGAGCAGGAAGGTCAGCAAACAAGCAAGAAGCCTAATACCGTCCTGTGCTAACGGTGCATTGGTCGTAACCGAGGCCGCGAGGAGGCGGCGCGTGGAGTCAAAACCATAGTGGTCCCTACCGTGCTGGCCTTTGGCGAGGTGCATTAGCTGTTTTGTCTTATGTCAAAGTTTTGAGATGCGAGTAACGAGTTCCCGCGTTGTAGTTCTGCTGGCTTGTACAGTTTCTTGGAATTTAAGTTCCGGGGGTACAGATAAAGCTTCTAACGAAGTCACTGACGGGGGCCTACGGAGATCTACCAACATGTTCAAATGTGTTCAATTGTTTAGGACTTGTGAAGCTTGGTTTGGACAGTGGATACGCATATAGAGCAAGCAGGCATCAACAATCTGCGCGCGTCCGACCCCCAAGGCCAACATCAACAGTGAGATCACAAAGTCCATGCTCCTCGCCCTCGTCAACCTTGTTCAGGAGAAGCAGATCAGGCAAGGTAAAACATGTGTCCAAATTGCAGCCAGACTTACACCTGGGATTGAATCTAACCAGCGTTGGACTTGGGGCGGGACTTCGTGATGGCACTACATTACGTGGCACTGAGATTTTGTGCGGGATCGGCTTCGATTAAACTCTTCCTGAGGCCACCCGATGATTTGTTGTAAGGTGGCGCGAATTCATGTCTAGAGGGAGGGGATCACAATATAGTCAATACAGACCGCAGAATACTATAATCCTTATTATTACAAATGGTACCCCTAATTTTGGGAACTGTTGCCCCACCTACTATTGTATAGCAGCAGATACACAGGGACATTTATCCCAGTGCCACCGTACCTTCAAGAACGCTGCGTCCAAGCAAGCCCAAAGCAAGACCCAGAAACATTAGTAGTTTCCATTTTCTTTTCCATTATCCCCAAGATTACCCCAATATACTATAGTAGTTTCCATTTTCTTTTCCATTATCCTGCAGCTTCAATGCAGAAACTTTGAGCCTTGAAAACACCAAGCAAACCCTTTAACTCAAAGCCAGAAACTAACGCATCAACAACAATTTGAAAAAGGATCTCTTGTACCCGGGGCTCAGTAGATGTTGACTATGCCTCGTTCCCATCATTTGGTGCATAAGTGATCTGGTTGCACAAGATTATGGGATGCTTACACGATTTCTTGTGCAATCACCCTGGCAATTTCTAACGAAAAAGACGTAAGCCTGTGCTATGTGAGCCGGGCTGCCACAGTACCTGACTGTGAAGGGAAGAAGTCTGCGACATCCTGGAAGAACTGTTACCTTTGCTGCTCAACTGGTTCCTCATGGAACTTGGCCTCCATTTTAAGCAACTTCCAGCCAATCCAGAGGTATCCTGTAGGTCTCCCATTTGTGTGTGTTCAAATGTGATGGAGCATGAAGAGTGTTATTCATCAATTTTTCTACCATCTCTTTCAGGATCCTTCAGGGAGTGTCTCCCCAAGGAAACACAATACAGTCAGTAGTCTGTAACAGGGTGGCAATGGTTCTCCCGTCTTTGAGTTTGGGGTCAGCAACTGCATGTGAATGTAGTATTTACGGATGATGCATACCATGTGGGATGCTGCAGTAAGAGGCGCTTTGCCTGTTGAGGCCATGTACTCCGTGTAAAACACCTAAGGAAGAGTACCTCACCGAGGATGGAGCTCATATTGCTGCCTGGCAAACAAATTGCAGCAGGATTCCCTGGTGGCGCAAAAAACAAATTAGCCCAGGAATCTCAGAAGCTTACACTCAATGTGTACAGAGCTGCAACTACACGTGGCTCATGACTGCCATGCATGTCGAAAGGCTCCCTGAGCATGATGATAGCTGAGCTTGTGTGCTTGCATCTCTTGAGGTAAAGCTCCTGGCTTCAATCACTGGACCAAAGGACCCGTTTTTCTCTGGCGCCTTGAGCATGCTGAAGCCATGCATTGAGCGATGGCGTAGGATGCAAGCTTGTGTGGGTGGCAGCCGAGTGACCTGGAGCGAGACATGCTGAAATCACTTCGGCAGGAGTATGCGCAAACAGCAGCATCACCTGAACTGGCAGCCAGGCGCAGCCGGGTTCTGCACAAACATGTTGGTCCAGTGATGACTTTCATGCGCCATTCGGCAGGACTATCACGCACCTCGAGAACAAGGCATTGTTTGTGCTTGGGCAGTATTTGGTTAGCTGAGGCTGCTCCTGCAGTGAAGAGTTCTTGCAGGCAATGGAGCTTGCACCTGGCATCTGAGGATAACATGCGTCTGAGGAGCACTTGGATTGATGTGCTGCAAATTACGCAGAACATCGTCACATATGGATCGCAGGATGGCGGGATGGAATTTAGACTGTTTGCATGCCCTCTGGCCAAATCCAGAAGAGTGGCGCTCTGCCTTGTCATAATTTCTCGAAATTGCTTTACTTTCCAGGATGCCGCAAGAATATATGCGGAATGATCTCGTGCGCCCCTTGCGTGCTGTCGCCTCTTCAAATTTGCACAGTGAAGGAGATTGTGGACATGTTCTACAAAGCAGCTATCCACTCCAAAGCCGGAGTCTCAGCTTGGATGCCACCTAACGACAGTTGATGTGGGCTAATGCTCCCATGATCCGATCACGTCCTCACGCTTTGCCCAGCAAGCCCAAACTTGCAGAGAATATTCACTGGTAAAACGAGCTTTGAAGACTTTTAGTGCTACTTGCCATGTTCATAGTGCCATCGAGTAATGACACAGTTACATGTTAAGTGTAATGAGAAACAACCCCCCCGAGCCTCCGTAATTAAGGGTGTCCGGGACCGTGAGCTGGAACTCCAGTCGTCGTAGTCAAAAGTAGTACTAGCCAGCAATCGATTTTTTTTTTGCAGGTTGGATTTTGCAAGTACAGGGGAGGTTTGTAATTACGTCCCGGGATTTGGATTTTGCAGTTACGCGGGGGTTTATTAATATGAGGTGAACATTAAATGTTGTTCCTTGAGCAGCTTCTGGCTACCCACATCTAGGGTCGCAATTCCGCGTGCGCGCCACGTGAGCATGTGCAGTTTTGTTTCCCCTCTCGGAAGGGCAGTAGGGAAGGTCTTAGCGCACTTGAGTGCCACAACCTAGGACCTAAGGTCCGTACTATTTCGGAATACTTTAACCCTGAGGTTGTGGCGCGTCTCCGCCAGGTGCTAACGGCAACGAAAGGCAGGCTCTGAAGCCCCATGCTGATGATTGCGAAGAGGTTGCATGACCCTGCCCTGCTTCCTGGACATGTGGACTGGTGTAATTCAACTTATATGCTTTACGCTCCTCTAGCTTTACAATCCGAAATTCTATGAATACTTAGGAATCAGAATGGCAAGGTGCCCGGCAGGTCAACATCATCAGTTCCCATACACAAATTGGGGGCAGTTGTGAATTTAAGCAGGCCGCCACAACGACCTGCCCTTGCCAGCTAGGACGACGCTTGGCTCAGCTGAACCTAGCTGTCAAGTGCGCAGCCCCTGTGGACAGACATGTTCTATAAAGGCCTGCGAAAAGCTGTTCAACTCAGGATTGCTTGCATTTGCCAATTCGTCTCCGCCATGATGACCCGTAGCAATGCCTCATTGCAAGAGCTCCTTGGCAGCAGACATTTGCCTTGGTGCTGGGAAATCATTTGCTGGAGTCGAGGTGCTGCGACCCCATCTGCTTCCAAGATGTTCTTTGTCAGCTTCTGCGTTCTCATCTGGTCGACCCGCTCATCTTGGAGGCTTCATGGGATTTTCCTTTAGTCCCTTCAAGGAACCCTTCTTTGGCTTTGCATGCTCCGTGACAGGCGGTGACGAAGACGCTCCGGACGATGCTTGAAGACCCCAAAGTCTACAAGAAGCAGGCAACCCCCAAGCAAAGCTACCATCTGTTCTAGTAAACCTATGCCTGTGCTCCGCAAGGTGTGACTGGATTTGCTCTGACGTTGATTCCCATGTCTGACCAGACTGCCCCCACCCCTGCTCGAGGCCATCAAAGTTGTCGAAGACCTGCGGAAAGTGACGCCTCTTCTTCAGTTTCTGGGAGGGAAGAAGCTCCTTGTCGCCAAGCACACTGTGATTTGGGCATTTTTGAAAGGGTCTCAGTGTAGATGGGACGCACAATCTTCACCCCCACTTACAATCCAGCAGGCACCAGAAGCCTTCAAACGTTTCAAACACAATCCCGGAAGCGTCCAAATAGGAAGCGGGGGCGGTTCTCAAACTTGTTCCCCGCTTTCTGGGGGCTGGCTGCCCCCTTTATGGGATGGTCAGGGGACCCTTAGCACAAGGAGGTGCATGTTGCTCACCCCTTCTAGGGCTAGATCTGCGTGGCGCCTCTTTCAATGCAATAAGCATGAGGTTTTGCAACAGGGTAGAGGATAATGTGTGACTGGAGGGTTTTAACATGTCGTGTAGAACCGCTCAACTCAGGGATGGGACACCTTCAAGCAGTGTTTTCTGCCTGCAAGGTACCCAGATCTATACAAGATGGCCCTCAAGTATTCGGAGGATGACCACCACGAAGCGCCGCCCTTCGCAGAGCTTGAGAACGCCACTTGAAGTCAGAATTTTACGTCACTCCTTGAGTGAGTCTAAGGCATTCTACGGCCAGGGGATACCCCTTTTTCTAGTATTCGGAGGCGTGAAGGTGGTAACCTGGTAATCCATGGCAAACCACCTTAATTACCCATGGTAACCCACCTTATCCCTTCTTCCCGCGAACCTGGCTTCTGTGCAGCAACGTATGCTCTAGCGGTAGTGCTGTTCTCTTTTGGGAACGATTAAACAAGCGCCCACCCATCACAGCAACTGAAAAGTGTCTTACAAGGGATCTAGACATAACACAATGGGAGGTCTAGGGGGATAGGAATATCCAAGTTGGAGGCCGGCGACTTGCAGAGGTAGTTATCCGCACTACCGCGGGCAGCGTTGAATGCTGCATTGACTGTCCCAGGATTTGGTCACCAATGCTATGATTGGTCCGACTCTCAGCAACAGTGTCTCGGACAGGCATCTTGATGTGGCGAACTGGCATCATCTTGTCAGGCATTGTGGTTTTAGTGGAGTTTTTCGCTGCAGAGGATGACGCTCGGCGGGTGATAACTTGGCAAACATCTGCAGAGTTGCGTTCGTGTGAGTATAGCTATAAGATCTAGGATTGCACACGTCCAGAACACACAAGTCCCCCTGTCCGGATCAGCCTCCCAGATGGTAGTCTGATTAATATCATACAGGCAGTAGTTTTGTATATCACGAAGCCCATAGATATATATACATATGTTTATATTCCTTATAGAAGCCCTATATAGATCCTAAAATCCCTATAATCCCTACATTGTCTCTATAAAATATATTGCTTTTTGGTAACTTCCTGTTTTTGCCCAGATAAGGAGAGCATCGAAAACGACCAGGCGAGAGAGTTGGTCAATGACGCGATGAACACGCAAGGGAGCCTTGATTGAGTTACATGCTCTTTCGAGCTTATACAACACATAATCCCCTTCTCCTCCCCCTAATTTTTGATACTTCAATTTTGTGGTACATTTTGAAATTAGGGGGGTAGGGGGTTTGATATTAGGGGAGGGGATAGCATCATATATCATATAATAATAATAGCAATGACTGCACGGGGATACATCCTGGAATATAAGCGCATGGAAATCAAAATTGAAATTCCTTACGTCCTTTATGTGCAGACCTCAAGAACAGCTCAGCCAGGCTAATGAGGCTAGTGAAAGGGACGGCGGCAGCCGTCCTTTTAGGCATTCTTCTCCCAGAATCTCTGTTGCATGAAGGATGGAAGAGATTTCAACCATCTTCTTATGCACATATTCTGCAAGTGTGGGTCGAGAAAACTTGATTCTTCTGACCCCTCTGCCGAGGAGAGAGACCATTCTTCTGAAACTGCTTGTCATCCCATGCGATGACTTGAAGCTTTGCTTGCAAATGGGTGCCAGACACTGTAGGTGCCGCTGTCAGATATGCGATTGTCAGTTGAGGCGACGGTGACAAAGCACTTGAGAGCAGTGCCAAGTCCCCGTATTTGTCCACAAGAATGCTTTCCTCCTCAGACACATCTCAGGAATTCAAAGGTTTTTCACCTGCCATACCACTGTTTCTGACAGCCTGTCTGCGAAGGAAGCTGGTTGTCATGCGCTGCCTCAGCAAGGTCCCTCTAAGAACCTTGGCATCCAATGGGAGCTCAGCCACCTAAACTTGGCATAGATATCGCCGATCCACCTGGAAAAAACACTGGGTACCTCTGCCCAAGGCGGAAAATAAAAGTCACCAACCGAGGCCACTGTATATATATATATATGTATACATAGATAGATAGATTTAGGTAGATATATACACACACACACATATATATATATATGTATAGCTCTTTGGATGAGGCGGATATATATACACACACACATATATATATATAGCTCTTTTTAACGATGACGAACCGAGGCCAGATTGAGCCCGATGAGATGGGGGCCATCGTGAAGTGTTTGTCTGACGTGAAGAACATCGGGGAGGGACGTACGGAGGAGATGCTGCTTGCCGCAAAGACCCGGTTTAGGGTTTAGGGTTTAGGGTTGAGCCCTACTAAACTCCTTCAAGGGGAATTATAGGGGAGCATTCTAGGGGTTATTGGGTTATTTTAGGCAATACTAGGAGCCTCAGACTATAGCTCATGTGCAATCTAGAGAGCGTCTCTATTTCAGGTTGCCCTTTTGCGAGGCACTTGTATATGGTAGTTTCCTAAAATAGGTGGACCCCCATATGGCTGTTTCCAAACATGGCGCGTCAGGAATTCATGAAAGGGCGCATGTTTGACCCTCCGATACATACCTCGATACACACCTCGATACATACCCCGATACATACCCCCACAACATCCCATTGTCAAGAGCCCAGCACTACGAAACATACTCCGAAACATGCCTCGAAACGTACCCCGAAACATGCCCCGATCCAAACATGCCTTTTTGACCACGGGTTAGCCGGAAACATGACCTCCAAATATTATAATCCTTATTCTAGGGACCCCCCATATCAGCAGGAAGCACAAAGGTGAGCGAAAAAGCAGGCATCGTAGGCCGCCCCTGATCCAGACCTTAAAAACCCTTAACCTGCCGTTGCCGTGCCTGCACTTGTGCGATGCGCGTGTCTAAACCTTAAACCCAAAACCTTAAACCCTAAAACTTCAATCCTAAACCTTGAACCCTAAAACCTAAATCGCTGTAAAGCGTTCTGCGCCGCACGGACGGTGGAGAAAAGGTCCTGTAAAAAAAAGACCTAAACCCCCGGGCTACTCCAAGGCTGGCCCTGGTGGTGCGCCAGCTTCAGAGGTTATTGCTGGCCCCTGGAGACACCGGCAGCCTGGTGTTTTTTAAGAAGTTAGGGATACTGTTGACATGAAAGATCCTGCATGACCTTAATATACTATAGTACCTTTAGTACCAGAATCCCCAAGGTATGAGGTACTTAGGGTCATACAGGGTTTTTTGTATCCACCGTAGTTGGAGCTAACTAGCCCATGGGAAGGGGGGTAGGAAGGGGGTAAGTGAACCCGCAAGTGATAGAAGCTCAGTTTTGTGCAAGAAGTGCAGAATGTCAGTCTACCAAAATCGTGCCCCTCATGCAGACCAACGTGCATTTCTCACGCAGCTTTGTGAGGTCCGGACTTTCAGCAGGGCTTCGCTGAGAGGGCTGTGGCCGAGTGCAGCGACGCGAGATCTCAAACTGTGAGGGAGAATTCGGGTTGTCCCGGGATAGGGTACCATGTACTGGCGGTTTATCATAAGGAGCGTGCTAGCCATACAGAACTTGTAAACTATGATTGCTGGGAGTGCTTTTGATGGGGGCTTGGGAGAGGCTGTCTAAGAATTGTTTCTGCAAGGGTGGACTGGGCAATCATACCAGGGTGCGGCTTTTCAAAGGCTTGCTGACAAAAGTCACGAACGCCAAAGAAACAGTGACACTTAGGAGATTCTCATGGCAAACTCGGCGCGATCAACCGATCGAGAGTTGGGACCCTGGCTTTGGATTCGTTCTCCGCAAAACATGGAACCCTACAGCATATACCCCTTTAAGAGGCTAAGCCACAGTAGTCTACAAAGGCATTTTTTCAGGTGCCATGTTGCTTCGGCAGAGGGTGCGGCAGGATACATCACTAGAATTGGATTGCTTATTGCGTTTCAGCGCCCATTAAACGCAGTGGCACTCTAGAGTCTAGAGTCCATGCTTGCAATGATGTCTGCAGCCGTTCTGTTCTGATTATGTTGGAAACTCTTGGAAAAGAGGTCGGATGAGTTGGAGAAGCTGGAGTTGTCATTGGCCATCGTCATCATCTCAGATCCGGTGCAAGTGTCTGTGTGGGGGGCTGATTACGATGCACCTGTGTGTAGGAATTTTAGCACAGGTCAACTTCTACTTCAGCTGCAGTGGCATTCCGTCGCTGCGAAGCTGCTTACGGCCATCAGAGTCTAAATTCCTTAAGGAGGTTTATGTATGGAAGTCTATACGGGACGGGGACTATTATCGGGGTTATTAGGGGGGATACTAGCAGCAAAAAAAGGGGGGGATACTAGACCATGGATCATATAGTTGGGGATGCTTTTGGGGGCCGTTATCTGGGGTTGTGTTATGTTGTGGCATACAGTCATTAGTCATGCAGGTTAATAGGTGCTAGCTGTCGAGCAGCTTGGTGTGTGTTTTTTTTCTCAGCAGGTTCTGTATCCTACGCAGGGTTCTGAACGTAAACTGGCCCCAAACCACGAGAGGATTCTGTACAATAAGGGCCCCCCCTATCAAGTTCGGGAAAAGTTATTTGGGGGGCTGGGTCCAGGAAGAATTGCAAAGGCAGGACTCTTGTGGGCGCTTGGGCTCAGAGCTCTTCGGTTCAGACTCACCCCAATTAGAATTTCTTTTAATAATCATAAATAGGAGCCCGGCTATTCCGTGCTACCGGGCCAGCAGCACTCCTCAGCAGGGATGATTTGCCAGGCTTTTGGAATATGCGGTTCAATAAGAAATCGATGGTTTATGTAAAAGTGAGATCTGGAATTCGGAAGGAAATGACTTTCTTGATAATGGGCTCAATTTTTTCTGTCTCCGGGATTTCCAATTCAACGCATACCATTTTCCAGTTTCTGATTTAATGGTGATTATTCCGTACGGGACAACAGTCCGCTCTATTCCGTACCCTTTTTAGTATTCCGTTCGGCCAGAAGTTCGCTCTATTCTGGGCCACTTTATTATTCACTATCCAACATTACTGCGCGATGAGTACGGTTTTCATCACATGACGGCAGGAATCCGACGATTGACGCGCTGTTTCCTCGTATCATGAAGTTCGAGGAGGAGTTTTCAATGGTTTGCTTACATCATGGGAGGCTTCGAATATCTGCACCAAACTAGGTCCTGATCACATTTTGGGGCCCCTGAGACTATGTTTCAATCATCCTGAGTTTTAAGCTGATCCTCTCTGGTGACCAAGGAAACCTGTCGAATGTACATTTTGCATGAAGACATTCCTCCTCCTCGAACAGGCCCCCCGGCTCTAGGTTTGCCAAGAACTCTGCAGCCCTCCACTCTGAACCTTATGCAACCTACCGAACCGTCACCCCCCGCCTTTCAGGAGCTCCACAGCCCGCTAGCTGCGGACGTCATGCTTGAGCAGACCTGGCTTGGGCGGTCGCTGGAGAACTTGCTGCAGCGCCATAGGCTTCAACATGGGTTTTTGTTGACATGGGTGATGTTGTCCGACTGGGATCTACTCGGGGCTTGAGATTTGCAAGTTGAGATTTTGACTGAAGACAGGGTCCTTCATGGTTTCTGCGCGAGCCCGAGCTCAGGTGCTTCCAGGGCGAGAAGGTCCTGGTGCGCGACAAGAAGGCATCCGCTGCGATGTCAGTTCTGGGAGCAAAAGCCTTCATGCAACATAAACTCAGCAAAGTACCAAACGGGCATAGAACTCCACCGAGAGGAACTCTAACAACATAATTGTCTTGGTGGAGCCCAAATAGTGTAGGGGAGCCTCGTGCCCAAGCATTGAATATCTTTGTGAAGCGAACCTAGCCAATTAATCAGACATTCTGAACGTAAGCATCATGGCCAGAACCCTGTTAATCCTTTCTTAAGTTTTGAACACGGGTTCCCTATCCCAACCAAAATGACAAACCTTAAATCCTATTCCCTATAGGGACTCCTAATCTTTGAAAGCTCCCTCATGTTCCATGAAAGATCGGCCAGGTCACCATCCGCATCCTGTTCCAGATGGCGAATGTCTTGGAAGGCCGATTGCGATTTACATGTCAAAGCCTACATCCTCTACAATCACATGGAGAAGCTTATACAGGGTTACATCATGTTATATCGAGTTTGTTTGGGGGTTGTTTTGCAGGGGGAGGGCGGCGGGCGCTGACTGGATGTATGATTTCCTGAACTGGACTCCTCCCTCTTGCGTTGAGAACCCCCTACATCAGCTGAGTTTTCAGAATCCTCACGCTTAACTAAAGGGCCCAGGAAATGTACCCCCGAAACTCAGTTGCAGTTCGGAGGGCTTGCCGGTAGTTTCAATATGACTCATCAACATATGTTGGTATTCTCAGGTGCCGGATTCCAACATCTGCTTGGCCAACCCTTTTACAGCACCTGATATGAAGCTCCTGCAATGGGACTTGTTCAAAAATTACCAAAAGATAAGGACCGCATAGCCCTTTGCATCAGTTGCGAACCCACAGATCAATGGGGTCCCTCTAAAGGCCTGCAAATTTTGAGAAGCCTCCATGGCCTACTGCACAGGAGTGTTCCCTAGCAAGAACGAAATTCCGCACGAAGGCTCTGAATGTCAGCATCAAAGAGGCCACGCCAGCGCAACCTTACATATGACTGAGTACTATACCCCCGGACCGACCCCCGGACATACACAACAAAATCAGCATGTTGTGAAAGACCTCAAATTCGCATTGCTTTTGCAGTTGCCAGGCCGATCGTCCTATGAGGCCTGGTGCTTGCCAGCAGGGGTTTGAACGCTTTGCGCTTAAGACCGGCAGAGGGTGTAGGATTTGGTCATTGCAAAGGATTCAACGCATACTGTACCGTACCCCATCATGTAGCTACCTAGGCTAACCCTGCTTGCCCCTTCCAGGAGAGGAGCCGCCGACGCAGAATGCACAAACTCAAAGAGGTTGCAGCGATGGAGGCTGGGAGCATATTGGGGTTATATAGGGATAATGGAAAAGAAAATGGAAACTACTATCTTATAATTGGGTATGAGTTGGGATTATAGGTAAAGGTTGGAGGCGTTGGGTGGGAGTGGGAGTTTTAGCTGCGGCCTTTAATTGTAGTTATGGCTCAGAATGCTGGTAGTCGCAAACCTCAAGACACGACCACGAGACTGGCACGTACGAGCTTTATGACAACCAAGTAATCCTTGTTAGAGGCAACAAGAGGCTAGATAGAACATGTATCCCTAGACCCTGAATAGTCGCTTCCATTTTCCATTATTCCTATACAATCCCCATACAATCCCTATGCAAGGCCTGTAGATCCCCTGGAGTCCCTACCCCCTAAACCCTACTCATACCAGCCGTTCAGTGAGGTTTGGATCTGGTCTGCTACCTTCCTTGCAATCTGCACGGCAGCGACAAACTTGACTCGATCCGCAACACCATCGGGAAGTGTCCCTAAATCAGGGGACCCCAATATAGACCCCAAAATACTGAAGTCCTCATTGCGAGGACTCCCCAAAAGGTCCTCCCCCCCCAATTTTGCAAAACCTCAATATGTAAGCTGTGGCACACTTCTGGGGCCAGGCTACCATGTGGGATGTGCATGCCGTGCAGAAGGCTCAGAGATTCCTCGACAATCAGGAGCCGCCCTAGCTCAGAGTTGTGGGAAAGCCATAGTGTTCCTGTGATTAGGTGCAGTAGTTGTCGCAAACATTTTGACACAGCAGTCGTAATAGTGAGAAGAATGATGGATTCATGCTTTGCCTGACAACCAATGCAAGTAGCGCACGCACTGAATCTGATGATGGGTCAGTGTACCGCTTCACAGGAGTGGGAAGACCGAATCGCTCAGGCCACGGCACACTCCAGTGTTGCAGTCGATGGTTGTTATTACATGTTATTCCAGCTTTTATCACCTTCCACACGCCGCCGGACCCCTGGTAGAAATGCCAGCGGCCACAGCTTCAAAGGTGTGCATGTCTTCTCGATTCTTATCGGCATTTTATGCCTGGTAAAGCCAAATTGGCAAGAGCGCAGTCCTAGCTTAGCTGATCGAGCCGTCAAGGTCGGAAGCCAGTTGTCACCAAAAACTTTGATGCACACCAATATCCTAAAGTATGACTCAAGCATCTGTCTCTGCAGAAGGCGCAGCAGTTCGTGGGCGCAGGTGGCCCCGCGCGCTTGCAGGCTTTGCACTGACTGGAAGTATACGAATCTGCGTGGGGCATCGTTTCCATGTCCCCGAGAGAGATTACTTGAGGAAGAGTTGACGGTCTTGTAGAGGTTCTGACCAGACAGATGCTGGAAACAGAGCTCTCTCATTTGCATGCAACACCAAGAGTGCTGAAGCGTTTTGACTTTCAAAAAGGCCAGGTCTCTTGCCTCTGCTCGAAGCAAGAGCGAGCTGTCTCCCAAGCCCTGCATGCTGGAGGACTTCCTGCTCGACCTCGCTGCTGAGGAGCGCGAGGAGTACTATATGGACCAATATCTCAAGGCCCATGTCTGTCACTTACACAGTCATACGATGATGAATAGTTGAATACCTGTTGCAGTGCACTGCGTCTTTGCAGCCGGGTAAACTGAAGGTCACGACGGCGTAATTAGGTGCACAGGTGTGTTGAGCATTTGAAGACGGTGCTGACCAAGCAGTTGTAGGCGTATGAAAGATGCCAACGGGTGGACAGCAGGCTGGAGACAAGCCGGGGGCCATTCTGATTGAGGCCGAAGCGAAGAAGGCTCAGAGGGCAACACCCACTATCAGTTCCTACTGTGGGGGCACTGGCGCTGCACAAGAATCGTAGAAACTCTTTCCGCACATTTTCTGGCACATTTTCGGGTTTTTTCAGGGTCCAGACAAGCCCGAACTCTCGACGGTGCAAAACGCATTGGACCAATGTCCTGTGTCTAGTATGATCGTTGGGTGGTACTGGTGGGCAGCAAACGGACCAATTGTGGACTGATTATAGACATCAAGGTAGTAGTGCTGATAAGACTAGAAAGCAGTTCTGGTAAGAAATTAAGTGCCAGCACACTGCCTTCTACCTCGATTCTGTAGTAATTAGTAAACGCATCAGAAATTGTCGTGGTCTGGTAACCAATGACCAGAGCAGCAACGCCAGCAGGAGCAGCAGGAGCAGCAGGAGCGGGAGGGCAAAAGACAAAAGCAGGATCGGGAGGAGTAGGAGGAGGAGGAGGAGAAATAGGAGTAGTACAGCAAGAGCAACAGTACTAATACAATTAAATGAGCAGCAGTATCATTCGCAGTGGGAGTAGCAGTGGGCTAGCAGTAGACGAAGAAGGCGGAATGGTAGTGGTGGTGGTGGTGGTGGGGGCGGCGGCGGTGGTGGTGGGAGTAGTAGTAGTGGTAGTGGTAGTGGTGGAAATAGTAGTAGTAGTAGTAGTAGTAGTAGTAACAGGTAGCAGCAGCAGTAGTGGTGGTAGCGGCAGCCGCTGGTTGGCAGGGGTGCTAGTAGCAGCCGTAGCAGCTGCATCAGCAGTGGTAGTGATAATGACAGTGGTGGCATTGGTGGGCGTTGCAGGGTTGATGCCGCAGGCTAATGTATCGTTAGCACAAGCACCCTAAACCTGTTAGTCCCGCAGGCAGCGCTGCTTGAACAGACCGGCGAGGAGAGCCAATGCGGGTGTGTGTCTCAAGTCTTGGGATAAAGCCTTGGAGGACAGGCAAAGGATACGGTACGAGCTCCAAACAGTCCATAAAATCCCTTGCCACTTGGCTCCCCAGTTTCTTCACAGGGTACAGTGCATCTCTTTGAGGGATTGCGACGACAGACCCTGTCTTGACAAATCGTCCTGTGCGAGCGTATTAATGAGCTCATTCCAAACTATGTCAAAAAGATCTGTGCGGATTATACACAAAAGCTGACACACACAGCCCTGCATGTTTTTGATCCTCAAAATTGGAAAGGAGCTTCGCCGCGACGAAGCCATGGAGGTTGATATGCAGCTTGGAAGGGAAGGAGCTAACTGTATGTGGCAATATGTTTAACGTGGCTTTCTTGTGGCATTCTTCAAGGTTTTGGACGACTTTAGTCCCAAAAAGCGTTTGATGCAAGCCTGCACTAGCAAGCCATCTCCTGTCACAGCTTTCGGAGGTCAGCTGCGATTGTTTGCAGTTTACCAGACAAGGCAGCAAGATGATGACAACGTCTACGAGAAGTCTGCAGGGAGGGAGTCGCTGATGATTGCCATGCAGCGGGAAGAGGCAGAAGAAGCGGGAAGGTTCATGTCAGGGCCATAAGACTCTGATCAAGCATGCCGGGGATCCGTTTGGATCAAGCCCGTCTATCATCTTTTGAAATCCGTACGCCTTGGCATGCATGGAAATGCTGGAGGAGTATCTGGATGAGGATCAGACCGGTCTCTTCGTTCTGCGTCCTGACAGCTTGGCCTGGGATGAGGACTGGACAATGTCATTTTTTGTGGCTGGATCCTATGGTTCAGCATCTGAACAGCACGGTTGCAGCTGTCCCCTCTCGCCGTTGCCAGTGCTTGCTTGTGTGCGCAACTGCCGCTTGACATTTCCCGCCCAACATCTGTTGCTTGGCAGGAAATCTTCCAGGACCTCAAGAAAGGCCAATTCTTGCTAGCTATCAATGTAGCATCTTCATGTACGGAAGGCAACATTATGTCTAGATTGCATTTGTGAACGCACAGCTGGAGGCCAGACGCACCTCGTCTTTGCGGCAGCTGCGTATCTCCGAATCGCCCTTTGTCTTAGGTGCTACTCTGTGCTGACGTTCCTTTTCATTT